ATTTTGCTATTATATTACTATTATATTACTCATATTGACAAATCTTCTGTTATTTTACTGTTATTCTGCTGTTATGCAACTGTTATACTGCCATTATTTGGCAAATATAGAGTAGAATAATAGCAAATTTTTTTTCTGTTATTTATCTATTATTCACCTTTTATTTATTTATTTAATCTGTGATAGCTTTAGAACCTTTTTGAGCTATAAAATTGTAGCATCTTAAATTAATTGATAATACATTATTTCAATTATTAAAAGTTAAAACATTTAAATTAACATATACAAATTATTATTTAAGTTAAAAAATATTGCTTGAGCATCTTTTGATTAAAAAAAATTTATTACCCATAGCTCAACATGAACTATATCAAAAAGTAACTTTTTAAAATTATTAGTGATGATAGAGTCTTTATAAATTGCAGATATATTAATATTAATGAAGAATTGCTGCCACACTTTTTGAACATTTCTTGCTGTCATTGCAGCAAAAATCTTATCAATCTTATTACTAGATAATAAAAAAAGCATAATATAAAATAAAATTAAATTAAAAAATATATAATAATAATACCTATTTTTCTATTTCACTCTTCTCTGCAAATCTTTAAACAATTTGTTGATCCTTGTTCAAAGAATATGCTGCTACTCAATAAAGGTGAAACAAAATTTTAATGCTGCATTATTAAAATTTTATTTATTTATTTCTAGAACTAAGATTTTTAGAAACTTTTTGATTACTTTATTAGATTAGAAGTTATCAATATTTCTGCATTGGATAAATAATACATACAATTCATTCTTGAAAAGTTCATTAATTCATTTTGGAAACTTTTTATTAATAGAAAGTATTAGTATAATTATGTTTTTAATCATTAATTTATTAGTTTATAGATAATCAACACTACTAGGATGGCTTTCAAAAATATGAATTATATGATAATGCCACTTGCTATAGTTGTAGCTGATAAGGATTAAAGTACTATTGCTATAAAAATTTTGACTCTGTATTGCCTATATTGCATATTTGCATATTGTGCATATTTAACATAAGTGGTACCACTACATAATTCATATTTTTGAAGAAGAGTTTAGAAAACTAGAGTTAAAAGAAGTTGTTTAATTATTATATATTATAGTACAAGAAAACATATCTAAAATTATTTTAATATATAATATATAACAACTAAAGACTTTTTTTTTAATCCTAATTAGTGATATGCATCTGTATGCTAAAATTTTTGTCAACCAATCAGATACCAAAAAGAACTAAAAAAAATTGAAAAATGCATATCACTAGCTATGAAATTAAATAAAATATTATTATATTATTAATTGCATAATACTCATATAGTTGTTTAAAAGACATGTTTCTTCTATCTTTTATAAATAATGCAAATACATTATGAGCATAGTGTGGAACTGATAGAAAATTTCTATTCTTATAATAATCTAAGAAAGGTTCAGATTATTCTTTAGAATTTCAATTTTATAAATATCTCTTGCTACAACAGGATGTGATAATAAATAAGACTAATTCTCTAACTTATCAAAATAAAAATTTTCTGATAGAGTTGAAGTTAATAATCATGATCATCTAGTAGTATTAAGAAAAAGCACTGCTATTATGGCATCAACACTATCATTAACCAAATCATTAATTAAAAGACCAAATCAGCTTCAAAGAGTTGTAAAAGTGTAATGTAATTTCTATAAAAGTGTGATTCCAAAAAATTTAAAACTGTAAAAAGATTTTAAATAAATAGAATTAATTTAAGATAAATTTATTAAAATAATATTAATAATCTGAAACCTAAATTTTATAATTTTTAGAATTATATAGTATGATACTGGAAATTGTAGTACTGAATATCATAACTGATCATGTAAAAAATACACGAAATGCAATAAGTGCAATAAGTGCAATAAATATAATAAATTACATTTAAGATTGGAAACAGTATTTCAGATCTGAAAGGGTAGATAAGAAATAAAGAAAGAAAATAATGGATATTAAATAAATACTTGTAAATAGTTTAATTAGTTTTAATGAATAAGTTGTATTTGTCAATAACAAATTTTATATTATAAATAAAGGCTGAAATGGTCCTAAAGAATGATATATCTCATTTGCTTTAGTAATGAACAAGTTCCAATACATTGTAATCATCTATAATAAAACTCTAACACTATACCTGATATAAATTTTGTAAACTTCAATAAACATTGTTGTTTGATCGAGTTTTTGTACAAGTAACTTACCCTACTTGCATTCATTGACTCAAAGTAACCGAAAACCTTAATTGCTTACTAGCCAAATCTAACATTCTCTTTTGAAAAGGTTACTTATCGTACATTATACAAGATATTAAATTGTAGAGCAACAAAGTTACAATCTTCTGAACTCAACAATAGTAACTATATTATAATTATATCATTATAATATAATTATTATATAATTACTAAAAAGTATAGAATCTAGGTTTATATATAGTTAATTTTTTTTTATAAAATAAAAACTAAGAAGAACTATTAGACTTAAGATAGTTTGAGTTGCATATATTACAGGTTTAGGTATTAGTTAATTTTGTGAAGTTACTGGTCAAGATTGAATTTATTAAAATTGTTGATCAGATTAAATAGATTGAAATTTAGATTTTGTTTGTCAAAATTGCTATTTTGATTGAGCAAATGATTGAGGTTGAGCAAATAATTATTGTTGAATAAGTTGGAAAGAGAATTAAGATTGGTGTTAAACAGGTTGGAAAGAGGATTAAGATTGGTGTTAGATGTGTTAAAAAGAAGATAAGAATGTAAATAATTCACTTTAAATAATTTTTTACTTTTTTAAAGACATTATTAAAAAAAAAATTTTTTGCATTTATAAAAATAACTTTTTAAAATTTTGGCATTAACAAAAAGTAATATGATAAAGTTTGCAATTTTATTATGAGTTAATTAAAATTTTATCACATTATAGTAAAAAGTTTATATATAAAATTTTTAGAATTCATTATTAAGAAAATAGTATAATAAGTTAGTTATAAATTTATTAAGATTTATAAGTTTCTTTTTAAAAAAATAAATTAAAATTTATATAATCTAAACTTTATTAAAAAATTGGTTCTTTTTTACAATAAGTTGACAGATTATTTTATTATGTATAAATATTCATTAAAAAGTATTTTAATAGCTTTTAAGCATAACTAGGATATTACTTTTTAATAACAACTCAGATAGTTACTATAGCAATTTATAAGGTATATTAAAGTTATTTACAAATTAAAAAAAAAACTATTTTAATGATTTAAAAAAGTTTTAACTTTACAATTAGTAAAGTTAAAGTTTAGATTATTAATATAAAACCTCTAGATGTTATTATTTTAAGTTAATTGTAGAATAAATAAAAAAGTAAATAGAATTATGATTGATTTTAGATAATTGAATTGATTTTGATTATTTTTGTATTTATTATCGATTTTGCTTATTTTGTAACCTATATATATTGTATGTCTCTATTAGTAATGCTATAGAATCATTTTAATGCTGTAATTATAGTAGTTATATATAAGCTTTAACTAGTTACAGCTTAAGCTATAATATTATTAAGATGATTTTATAACATTACTAGCCTTTACTAAACAATATTTGATAATGTCTATTCTAGCTTAAATATTTGCATCAGTGTTATTTAATTTTTGAGCTATATGCTTGCAAAGAAAATAGTTTATAATTCTTCTATTAGCACAATTAATATCTGTAATACTGACATTCTTGTAGATAATTCATCCGAATCAGATCACAAAATCATTACCCTTGATATATCTATAACTATTAACAAAACAAAACCTATCAAACAATATACAAGAAAAAACTTTCTTTGGAAAAACTGTTTTAAGGAAAACCTTGAAAATTATTTAAACCAAATATCACAAAGCCTCGCACAACTTCAAACTAAAATATCAAATATTACTAATCAAAATAAACTTAATCTAGTTTGGAACAAAATACTTAAAGCACTTTCTAAAGCTACTACTAAAAACATTCCTTATAAAAAAATCAAAACTATTCATGAAATCAAATCAGATAAACTACTCAAACATCATTCACTCTATTATAGATACAAACAAATACAATACCTTAAAAATCATTTACAATCCTCAAATCTTT